TCACAAACACTTGTTTGGCACAAATCTATTATATTGTATGGTAGCAATAAATTTGTTCAATAGACCATATTTTTAATAATAATTTCATTTTTACTCTTTTTGCGAAAGGAGCCTTTCGTTTTTACACACTTTGTAGAGGGCGGTATAACCACTATTGGTGTCCTGATTTATTTAACTGAAAAGCATTGGTATAATGGTACTGAAAAACAAATGGTGCCAATATATTTAATGCACGTTATTGAGAAAGCACTTTACAACTTACAGCAATCGCTTACACGGGATTTTGTAGAAATAATCAACAATTTCTTCATAGAACATAACTCTGACCTAAACCCAACTAACAACAACTCATTAGAGCTATTTTACGAAAATGATGATACTCTGCTTAAGGTAGAGATTACTTACCTCAAGTGCGATCAACTAGCAAACTACAAAAAAACAGACAAGACGTAGACGCTTTCAGCATGCAATTACAGTAAATAGAACCAACCCTGCATCTCTACCTTAAATGTCAATTTCATAAACGGGAAGAAGGTGAACTCCCAAATGCATAAACACCCCAAACATTTAGACACAATTTGGCGTGATCTCCAATTCCTATCGGATAATATTACACCTGTCTACAAGAATTGCTAATATTTCCCAACGCCAAAATTAGGAGGGGATCTCGATCGGCGTATTTTTCTAAATCATGCAACTATCGTACCAACTCCGACTGCGTGTTCTGCCATGGCAAAGATGATCTCATGCTTATCTTGCTCCAAAGTCCTCGTCAGTTGTCACTGTTTGAGCTCGTTCATGAAATATTCAAAAAATAGTTGGTATTTGATTTTGTCTTGCCAAATTGGTGGTTCGTTATTGGGCCATTCATGCTTTGATAAAAAACTATGGACGAAAAGTCCAATACTGAATTACATTATAAAATCTGCAAAACTAGCCATTCATATGACTCACCAGATTTCTCACAATGAAGATTCACGGATGTGACACGGCTCTACGAGGCCAGATTGCAGTCTAGTATCACGCTTCGAATACCCCTACTATGTAAGCTCCAGCCTGCATAATTTGCCAAAACAATTTTCAACTTTCATACGAATATATCAAGTACTGATCGTCATATTTCAATAAAACTTGGCACATAAATGCTCTGGAACAATGGACGGGGCTGATTAAATTTGGGTTTAAATCTGTTCATATTAATTTCCTAATTAAAAGAATGATTCATAATTTGCTTGTTCTAATCGCATTTCAATGAAACTCGGCACATAGATGGTCTGTTACATTGCGCAGACCTTATTAGGTTTACACTCAAATCGGTTTGTAATAATTACCTTATTTGCATAATTATTTTTTTTTCAGTTTTTCCACCAGTATCTCAAGTACAAGTAAATTTGAATGAATTTTTAATATGTCTCGAACAAAAAGCGCACGGAAGTTCTTTCTAAGCTTTTTTTATTCGACTTTTTCTTTAAAACTACAATTCTAATTGCTTTGATACTTGGTGAGAAGTGATATTTTCGACTTCTTGTTAAAAACCGCAAGTTTGATTGCTTCGATACTATGCATATAGGCACCTTAGGTAGTCCGCTATTAGATTTGTTCATTTTCTAATGATACCTTTAAATTATCATTTGCATTATGTCAAGTTCAGCACAAGATCCGGTGTAATGCAATTCATATGAATGCTAACATTGTTGACATATTGTTCTCCAAAATCGCTATTCCTGAAACAAAACATCAACATATTTAAGAAGTTGGAAAAAGGAGCTAAAACAAATCTAGATGTATGCATATCCACACTGCATTACGCTGAATTCAGCAAGTCAACACAATTTACAGCTATCTGCCAACAACAGTTTCTGATAAATCAAGTAATATTAAGTACAAAAATTATTGACAACCAAAGTACTTGAAGTATGATGCCTGTGAACATTCGTCATTCCACAGCCTCGGAAAAATATTGCAATCATGAGTAAATACACTTTTTCTATTGTAATTATGAGAGTATAGAGAGACAAAGGAGACTAGTAGGGCAAAATAATTTAGTTAACTGGAGAACAAGTTATTAATGGGTGAAAGGCTGGCATGATAGAAACTGGAAAATAGTTTACAATATATAATACATTAACGTATACATGTGTAATGATTGTCCTAATTACAATTTGTTTGACTAATTCACAGCTAGATGATAACACATTAAATTAGTCACTTTCAGGATATTTTGCAAGCACTGAATGACCTGATTAAATTGACCATGAGTAATGAGTTTCTCATACCAGCCATTTTTTCACTAGAATATTATAAATCGTCAATTGAATAGGCGAACAGAGAAAATGGAAACAGAAAGACAAAAGGGACGACCATAGCAAAGCTGATTTATGATATTCACAATATATTGATAGATGAATCGAAAGATGGCATCACACAATCCTAAAAAGACAACGCAGCAGCAAATTTAGAATAGTAACTGGAATGTGAACACACATTCAATGAAAGTTGAGGTGATAAAATGCGATTATTATTAACATACACAGAAGGAGGTAAAGTGATTGAGTGAACTCATTTACCACAAAATTAACTGGAAAAACATGGACACATTCAATAGTACAATAATTATTTCTACAAATCCTCTGATTAGAAGATGTT